CACTCAATCGTAGGGTTTCACTCGACAGTGCATGCTCTTCCTCTTGTCTGTGAACACCGGGTTTTTCTTTTTCCTTCGTTTTTTTTTTTTTTTTTGGAGTTCCGTTTCCCCCCTTTTTCAATGGCTGGGGATTAATTTTACCCTTTTTTCCGATTTAAGACTAGGGAAGCATTTTCGTTTTTTCCAGGCTGTCTGAGGCTTGTTACAGGCTTCACTCGTATTTCACTTCTCGCACCCAGTATGATGGTGTAATTCACTCTCTACAGCTAAAATGGTTGTATGGGCGCGCGGACCCCTCCACGCCACACACATCACTCCCCCATATAGCGAGTTCAATTATGCAGATAACTCGAAACAGCCAGGCTATGCTCGAAGTCTCCAAAAGTCCAATATCACTGTCCATTTGAAGGTCTGTCCCGTTCATCCCAAAATCCATTTAGCGCAGTATCATTTTTTTTTCTAAATGACACAACAGCATGACACGTTTTTAGTCTCTATTTGTAATACGGCCAAAACGAGGGAAAAAAATAAGAAAAATAACAAAAGTGAATCAATAATCATTCAGAATTAAGACACAAGGGCCATTGGATTTGAAAGTATCATAATCCACAGGTTTTTCAATAAAAAAACAAATCAATAATAACACACCAAGAAAAAAAATCCACATCTGCATCCACTCCATATTAGGATGATAAGTAAACATCCAACCATAATACACCAAGAACCATAAACCAGACCGTATGGTAGCGGACGAAGCCACAGTATAACAAACCAGTCGATACGGTGTGTCTATGTTGCACGAAGCAAATTTACGAAGTCCCTAAACACGCGAATGCTTTATCAGTCTCACAGAAGGGCTCAGTAGATTTCAGAGAGATTTAGAAATAAAAATAACCGAAAACGCAGTGCACAGAAATATTCATATATATAAAAATAGTAGCAATCAAAACAGTCCCCGGTAAAAATAGCGCCATGTAGACAATACACCCCCCACACAGAAGACCAGGAACACTATATTACAGCGGAGAGTAGTCCCAGACCAGGACCAATCAAACACGGTATCCCTTTCATCACATCCTTCCCCAAACACACACAGGAAGCTCAATACACCAAGATCCACATCGCGCGCAGAGTTCGGGGCGTGAAGGGCGCGAACCCATAGAGAAGGTCAGGTCTGTCAACATGCAAATAAGATAATGAGACACGTGGCAGCGGGGACCTTACCCTGGTGACGTAACACGGGGGGGGAGGGGAGGAAGGAAGGGAGGGTTACAGGGCAAGGCAGGGTTTGGGGGTGTGAGCCTTGGGGGGTGAGGGGGTGGGGGGGGGTTGTTTGGAAAAGGGAATGGGGATTGCATCCCAAATCATTAATCAAGTCTCTGGCTTAAACAAACCTAAAAATGTGAACTTACTATCAAGTTTTTGATTTTTCAATGTTAAGGGCGAACGAGGGGGGGGAGTATCGAAGTTTAAAAGGTCAGGGGGAATTTTTAAAAAAACAAAAAACAAAAAAAAAAAAATTAAT